GCTTTCTTTGGGTCAGGTGGTGGTGGTGGTGGGCTCTGGTGTGGTGGTGATGTTGGTGGTGGTTGTGGTGGTAGTCGTGGCGGTGGTGGTGGTGGTGGTGGTGTGGTGGTTGGTGGTGGTGGTGGTTTGTTGTGGTGGTGGCGGTGGTGGCTGTTGTGGTGGCGGTGGTGGTTTGTGGTGGTGGTGGTGGTGAGTTGTTGTGGTGGTGGTGGTGGCGGTTGTGGTGGTGGTGGTGGTGTGGTTGGTGGTGGTTGTTGTGGTTGTGTATATTGCGATTTGTGTTTCCCCTCTGCGGCCTTCGGGTCCTCTCTGGTCATCGTCGCTACGTTCCCGCCGTCGGTGCTGCTGGCCGCCGCCAGCGCCGGCGCTGGCGCCGGCGCCGAGGGGGGGGTTGGGGGGGCTATAGGGGAGAGGGGAGCCCCCCTGGTTCTGATCGACGGCGCCGAGTGTTGGGGGGACCCGCCCCCCGTTTCGAAACGCGCCGCCGAATGTTCCCAAGGCAAGCGCCCGTGAAACGCGTTCTATTGCGTTCGGCTCATCTTGCCACCGTGCCTGGGTTGTGGGCCTGAGGCCTTTGTATATGTGTTGCGGTGTCGTGGGGGGCCTTTGGAGGCGGTTTGGGCGCCTCTTGGCGGCCTCTTGGGGCCTCGTGGGGTATCGTTTGGGTCCTTCGGAGGCCTCTTGGGCGCGTCTTGGGCGCCTCTTGAGCCTCTTGGGCCTCAAGGCGGCCTCTCGGTGCCTCCTGGGGGCTTTTCGGGGCTTCTCGGAACGCTTCTTGGGCCATTTGGAGCCCTCTTGGGCCGTCTTCGCGCCCCCTTGGAGGCGTCTTGGTTTGTTTTGGGGGAGCTTCGGGAGTTTATTGAGCCGTCTTGGAGCGCGGGGGAGCCGAGGACAGTTCTTTTTCGGAAGGCCTCTTGGAGCGCTCTTGGACACGGGGACGCAGCAGTAATATAAGTTTCGACGGCGTGTAGCCTCGGGGACGCGAATAATATGCAATGTGCAAGGAATTCTGGTCTAGGGGGCGCGAGTGTCAAATATTTTCAAGTGTTCCACGCCCCACCCAGGAATTGACAGCACCCGATCCGAAGGTGGTCAATTGCCCGTTTGGGGCTCCCCCCCTCGCGCGGACTTGAACAATTTACAATAGGAGACAGAAAGCAGGAATTCAACACTGGAGACTTGAAAGAGCAACTGGCGCAGGAAGCAACAACTTCGGCCTACAGCCTGGTGACTCCACAAACGGGCCAGCAGACTTTTGCGCGGCGTTCTGATAAAATCTTCGTGGGGGCTTTCAGTTGATCGCTATTGCGCAGGAGGCACTTGAATTGGTTTGAATTACCTTACAAGTTGTTTCCATGTGTGCGGACTTCGAGGACAATAGAAATCCTTATGTACAGACTTACCCACTGATTCCTAGTGTGCGGGCTTCAAATTGAGCTCCTTCTTGCCTGGCCGGGGGGGAAGGGAATGCCCGGCCAAATACAAGGCAGAACAGGACAAACAAAGACAATTCGGGGGACCAACAATGATGCGTATTGAATGATTGACCGGCCTTTTGTTTTCAGACCCCCCCAAGCACACCAAACGACAACACACGGGAAGAAAGGAACACCGAACTATTTGTTCACAGTGTTTAGAGACTTACACACTGGTTCACGACAGTCGGCGGGACCAAACACGCTGCGTCTTTGTTGCAATACCCAAAAACAAAAGGACCATCTGGACGCAATGAAAACCTGAGCTCTCTTTGTGTTCAAACATTTTCACAATGTTGCAGCCAGTTCCCCCCTTGCGCATGAGCCACGCACAACGAAATTCGATTTGAAAGCTGCACACGAAGGAATCAATGTGTCAACCCATACAAAAGAGGATTCAAGTGTCTCCTACATACCAGAAGTGAGCTTGTAATTTCCCGCAGAAGCATTTTTTGAGGGCCGCAAAGGAGGAATGAATGTGCACATGCCGACTCACAGTATTACACAAGTTCGTTGTGGTTGGTCCCCCCGCGGCCCCCAACAAAAACTGCGCACCAAAGGTCACCTTTGCCTAGGGAGATCTAGGTTGAGGGAGATGAGGGCAGAATGTCAATATCATTACAACGCCGAACATTTGCAATAACAGAACTTTTTGGAGCTCCGGGCGGATGTCTTGGATCGGCGCCTGGGCCCCCTCCGGGCTCCGGGCTGGGGCTGCAGGCCGTTCCCCAGAAGTAGGTCGTGGAACGCATTCGTTGCGGAGGCTTGCTGTGTCCAGAAATACACCCGATTTCACCTGTTCGACGCTGCTTACGGTATCATGATGATTGCATGCGCCGGGCGAAATCAGTGAGCACGTGTAGTTGCATGTAGGGTTCAGATGGGTGGGAAAGGAACCCTCTACAGGGGAAAATTCAAAACATAGTTCAAACAAACAATCAGGGGACGACGTTTTCCCCAATCAGCGCTTGCACTGAAGGGGTCCTAGCGGAAGTTGGAAGATTTGGCAAAAGTTTCCCGCCGATTTTGGTAGCAGGTTGGATAACCGGGGTTCCCGGTTCCGGGTTCCCGGGTTCCCGGTCATTGGTTCCGGGCCGATTTCGGTGGGTTCTGGGTTCCCGGGCTCCCGGGTTCCTGGTCGATCCTCTCAGCGAAAACCATCCACGGTTTGTTTTTTTTTGCTGTAGTGATGATTTTTGCTGATTTATCCTTCGGAATGTTTGACACTCTGTAATTTTTCCCAGGTGTGCCGCAGCCGGCTCGAGATGATGACGAGGTCGATCCACAACAAGCTGCAGCAGGTCTGCGACCCGGGCGAGAAGGGGATCCTGACCGTGGTGCAGTCGTCGCTGCAGGTCTTGGGCGTGCCTCCTTCGTTGCTTTACGTCGGGCGTATCCCTCTATACAAGGGATGTTATAAACTGACTGACTGACTGACTGAAGCCTTGCGTCCTGCAAACGCGTGGGCAAGATTGCACGTATGGCAACCAGACGTGAAAATAGAGAAAGGCGGCTGACTACAGACAGGGGCAGGTCACGGGAGTGTCTTATATATAAATATATATTCATTCCAAAAAGTGTGTGTGTGTATATGTATATGTTTTGAGTATTTCTGGATATCTTCAATTTGTCGCCCCCTATAGTAGGGGAGCAGGCCCGACCTAACCTTTGTTGCCACCCATTGGAGACGACAAATCTGCAGCGAGGGTCCAGCGGGAGGGAGTCCACCGCAGCTCCGAGAAATCGGTTCGGACCGTGGCATATCTATTCTTTCGATGCGCTTCCAAAAGAAGCGGCGCGATGGCAGTATTCTTATGTTAGCCTCTTCCTCCGAGGATCTATGCCTCCTGGATGGGGTCGGAGTAGATGGGGTCGGAGGATCGAGCCGCATCTTCGATGCATCGGCGATGCGGCTCAATGTGGGGCCCAATTTTCTCCACGCCGACGTCGCCTGTGCATCGCTGATGTCGTTAGCGCATGGCCGATGAATCGACGATGCATCACCGATGTATCGGTGTTATCGGCGATGCGGCGAGAGCCTCCGACCCCATCTACTCGGACCCCATCTAGGAGGCCTCTAGAGGAGATGTGATACGATGACAACACAGCCAAAACGATGAAGTAAGGACCACCTCGGGCTCAGAAGCAGCCCCAGATTTTTTGCGGCCGTTCCTTCGACGTGGGCCCTGGAGCGCGGCTGGTCGTGGCCGGGGTTCCCCATGGCCAGAACAGCCCCTTCGCTTCTGATTCAGCCTTCCTCCTGGCAGCAGGATGCGACTGTATCCGGAAGTCGGGCGTGTCCCTCTGCAGGAAGAATATTCGAACACATTCACAAAATGGTTTGGAAGTTCGGAAGCGATGTATGACTATTTTTGATGTGCCCGATTCTGTTTGAATCTCGGTTGTATTCCTTCCACAGTCCGCCTGTAGGAGGACATTCCCGACCTAAGCCTTCCACTCTGGCAGCAGGATGTGACTGTATCCCCGAGCTCCGCAGTCCTGCGTCGAGGATGCCACATCAAGCGCAGCCGTGGCAGTCAAGACTTTAGCGGTGGACCGGCAGGCACCATGCCACGGCTGACAGGAGCGTCGGCTTTTTCTCATTGCAGTGGCACCTGAAAACCACGGCAGCCCGTTGTTCGCGGTCTGGAGTTCCAACGGCCGTTTCCGGGCCCCCCGGCAATGCTGGCGATCCGCAGCGACCGAGAGCTCTCCGGCAGACGCGGGCTTCTATAGAACGCCCTCCGAGCGTCTCGGCACGGTCTGGAACGGCCGTGGCGCCCGACGGGCTGCACCCTCCAGTCTCGCCATCCCCCTAGTGTGCCCGACTCACCACCCACCAAACCACCCCAACCCAACCCGAAGGCTCAGATTTACCCTCGATTTCTAGTAGGGGGGGGTCGGGAAACATCGAGAAAACACAGGTGGAACCCTTACCCCCCCCCAACCCGAAATTCGGGTTTTTGGGTTGGGTTGGGGTGGTCTGGTAGGTAGTCACCGACCGACCCCGCCCCGGTGCCGTCTTCGTCCTGCCGTCGCCTCGAGCCCGCGCCGCGGACCAGAGGACAGGCGCGGGTCCGGGAGTCTGGGCCTCTCTCTTTTCAGGAGGAAAAGAAACACACAGACACAATGAATCGTCGATCCCCAGGAAAATATGGGAAAATATGGGAAGTGGGGGGGAAGACAGAAACCCAGAAAATATACGAAAATATGGGGAATCCTTTTATTTGTGTCTATTTATTTGTGTGTCCTTGGGCCCCTTCATCTTTGGCAGAGGAGAAGCAGAGGCCACCGCCACCGAGAGCCCATCGGGGGGCCGGACCCCCGGGGCGGGGGCGCGCCCGAGCGACACCCAGCGCAGGCCAGGTGCCCGCTGCTTCTTCGGTGCAGCCTTTCCGGCCCTCCCCGCCGTATCCCGTCTGTTTCAGCATCGTTCTGGCCTCAGCACGTGATCTTTCCATTGCCACTCCCACTCGTTCCGGAACCTCCAGCCTACATGTTTTGACCGCGTTCTGTCAAAGTTCGATTCTCCAGGATCGCCTCGAAGGGGATCTTGTGTATTGAGAGAGGGGACCCTGGGTTGGTTCATTGTGTGCGGCCTCCAGGGGCCCTCCCCAGGCGCCTGGGCTGTCCGAGAAGGAGTTGCGGTAAGCAGCCAGTCCTGGAGAATGATGGCGGGGCTGGCGGTGGCGGTGGTGCGAGGAGGGGTGCTCTCGAAGAGAGCAGGTGGCCTCTAAGAAAACAAGGGCTCTCTCAGAAGCCATGCCAGCTGCTGAAAAGCCTTGCCAGAAGCCACGAGGCCCTTGTGAGAAGGCCCATGAATGTTCAGAAGCCCGCGGCCTTCTTAAACTGCACCCCCCCCTTTGCGCCCCCATTGTGTGCGCCTCCACAAGGGGAGCGCGAAGGGGGGGCCCTGTAGTCCGGGGGGGGGGGCTGTAGTCCAGAGGGGGGGGCCCTGTAGTCCATGGGGGGCCCTTGTAGTCCGGTGGGGGGGGCCTTGTCGTCCGGGTGGGCGCGTGAGGAGCGCGTTCTCGCTTCGCGCAGAAGCAGTATCTGCCTGCGTGCCTGGAAACGCCCGTGAGGTGCAGAGTGGCGACTGGCGCCCGCGCGGCAGCCCTTTGCTCTGCGCGAGATGAGCGCAATTCTGCGGAACCCCACAGGGGCGCGGCTGATTGGCAGCAGTCGCCAACCAGCAGGCAACCCGAAGTCCGGGCCAGGCGTTGTCAGGCGTGCAGCTGTCCCAGGGAGAGGGCGGACGCCAAGGGCTATGGTGCACCCTCTGCCGGGCACGGCCCGAGGGGCCGCAGGCGCCCGCGCCCGACGCCAGGGCGACAGCATCGCCCAGCACCACGACCCTCCTCAGGGCGGGGGCCGCGCGCGGGGGCAGCCCCGCTCGGCCTCGCCGCGGCGAGGCTGCGCCGACAGAGCAGAGGCAGCCGCAGCGGCGCAGCAGGCGGCGCCCATCGCGCGCCGAGGACGGCCGGCGCGCCTTCGGCCTTCCAGTGGAAAGGTGCGAGCGGTGTGCAGGGAGGTGGGCGTGGGGGGCCCGGCTTCCGCCTCTTGCAAACGGGCTCCTCATGTGGGCATGAGCTGGTTTCGCCGGCGCTGGTTTCGCCGACGGCTGGTTTCGCCCCGCTGGTTTCGCCGGCGGCTGGTTTCGCCGGCGGCTGGTTTCGCCGGCGGGCGGACCCCAGGGGCGGGTCGGGTCGGGTCGGGCGGGCGGGCCCTGACGGGCGTGTCGGGTCGGGCGGGGGGCACAGTGAAGTGTGGGGCGCACTCGACCGAGCACGCGCGAACCCCAACGGGCGGGTCGGGTCGGGCGGGCGGACCCTGACCGGCGGGTCGGGTCGGGTCGGGCAAGCGGACCCTAACGGGCGGGTCGGATCGTGCGGGCGGGACATTGAAATGTGTGGGGCGCGCTCGACCGAGCACGCGCGAACCTTACCGGGCGGGTCGTGTCGGGCGGGCGGACCCTACAGTCAAGACGCTGAAATAAGGAACAGTTTGGGTCTGAAAGGGGCTGGACGTTCTTCAGGTCCTTCCATGGCTGTTCTTCCAGCCCTCCTCGTGAGCGAAGGCGGTTTTGGGACCTAAAAGGGGCTTCGTTCCTTATTTGGCGTACCCTTGTTTCAGCGGCCCGACTGTAGCGGGCGGGTCGGGTCGGGTCGGGCGGGCGGACCCTGACGGGCGGGTCGGGTCGGGCGGGGGGGACAGTAAAGTGTGGAACGCGCTCGACCGAGCACGCGCGAACCTTAAGGGGCGGGTCAGGTCGAGCGGGCGGACCCTGGCGGGCGGGTATGGTCGGGTCGGGCGGGCGGACCCTGACGGGCAGGTCGGGTCGGGCGGGGGGGACAGTAAAGTCTGTGGGGCGCGCTCGACCGAGCACGCGCAAACCTGAACGGGCGGGTCGTGTCGGGCGGGCGGACCCTAGCGGGCGGGTATGGTCGGGTCGGGCGGGCGGACCTTGACGGGCGGGTCGGGTCGTGCGGGCGGGACAGTAAAGTGTGGGGCGCGCTCGACCGAGCACGCGCGAACCCCAATGGACAGGTCGGGTCGGGCGGGCGGACCCTGGCGGGCGGGTATGGTCGGGTCGGGCGGGCGGACCCCAGCGGGCGGGTCGGGTCGGGCGGGCGGGACATTAAAATGTATGGTGCACGCTCGACCGATCACGCGCGAACCCTCATGGGCGGGTCGCGTCGGGCGGGCGGACCCTATCTGGCGGATCGGGTCGGGCAGTTTCGCCGACGGCAGCTGGGTTAGCCGACGGCAGCTGGTTTCGCCGACGGCAGCTGGTTTCGCCGACGGAGCTGGGTTCGCCGACGGAGCTGGTTTCGCAGGGCGGCGAAACCAGCCGGGCGAAACCAGCCGTCGGCGAAACCAGCGGTCGTCTCCTCTCGGCTTCACGGACGAAACACTCCCATCGCAGAGATAAGTCGAGCCTGTCCCTCTACATTGGGAAAATTCAAAGATGTCCAAGCAATAGTCTGGGTACGATTTTTCAAAACCATTCTTGGTTTTTCGTTTACAACGATTTGTTGACCCAGGGGGGACATGCCTGACCCAGCCGCAGAGAGGGGGGGCATCAAGTTCTTAGGAGTGGCAGGTGCCCTGCCTTCCGGGGTGCCCGGCCCCGCCCCCCCATGAAGAGGCGGATCGCCGTCGCCTCGCTCCGCCTCCTGTGACCGCCATCGCACCGCCTGTAAGGGTCATCGAGGGTACGCCCAGCCCAATCCATCGAGAGAGAGAGAGAGAGAGAGAGACAGAGAAAGAAGAGAGATGGGATCAAGGTGACAGGCTGGAGGTCAGTCAGGGTGGGCATTTGATCTCAATCCCCCCCCCCCAACCTCCTTATCGCCCGCAGGGCGGTCGTATAGGTACGCCCAGGCTTTGTGGGCCCCTGAAACGGCAGGGCCGCTTTTTCACCGTTTCCAAGAAAATGTCTTTTGAAAATGTAAACGGCAAAAAACCGGCGACCGGAAACAGCTCCAGGACTGGAACCGGAGCTGGAACCATTCAAAAAGCGGCGACGGAACGGGTGAAATACGGCGTCGGAACCGGCAAACAAAAGGCAAAACGGAACCGGTAACAAAAACGGCCTTGTCGTTTCCAGGGCCCGCTAAGATGTGCACCTTCTTTCCTCCCCGGCGCCTGTGGCTCTTTTGGGTTCGGGTGCTCGGGCGCTTCCGGGCTATATGCCCGCCCACAGCCGCCCCTGGGGCATCGAGCTCCTGGGAGCGGCAGGCGCCCCGCGTGCGCCCCCCCCCCCCCCCCCCCCCCCTCGGCACCGCCAGTCATAAAAATCAGGAGGGGGAAAAAACACACAGACACAGTTAATCGTCGATTCCCAGGAAAATATAGGAAGTGGGGGGGGGGAAGACAACAACCCCGAAAGCATGGGAAAATATGGGGAAGCTTGTTATTTGTGTGTATTAATATATATATATATATATATATATATATGTGTGTGTGTGTGTGTGTGTCCTGGGGCCCCTTCAAACAAGAGGAATCGGATTCACCTTGTTTTTTTCTCCTGGCACCGCCATCTCACCGCCTTCAGGGACCATCGTGGAGATCTACAGGCCTCCGAAGAAATTAGCGAACACTCATGCCAAATTCATCTGTCAACGCCTTCCCCCGCCAATGTTCAAAGTTGGCGGTGAGTCTTATGAGATGCACTTCGACCGCAGTGTTTTCCGCGCGTGCCAGCATTGAGTTTGGGGGAGGGGGAGTGTTCAGTAATTGTTTCCCTCTACCGTATGAACACACCCTCCGGGCCGCGTCAACGCGGGCGGCCAGCACCCAGAACCAGGGCAGACGCATCGGCCCACAGGCTGCGCTTCTGTGGAGCACCCAGAATCCCCGGCCACGGGTCGCCACCCGGGCGCCTCCCGCTCGTGTGTCATTTCGGGGGTGAATTGTCCGTTTTCGGTTCTCGAGAGGGCGCCGCGGCCGTCATTTTCCAGGCTTGTGCCCGCCAGGTTTGGGCCTCAGGTCGTTTTCACTAAACCACGTTTTACTAAAGGGAGGTCTGTCCATCCCCGATCATTTGCGTGGGAACAGGATTTCATCAACGATGTCGCAAGTTGGGCTTTGGAGCCGGCCAGGTAGAGAAGGACCCGAAGATTGTGCAGATGTACGCCAACATCCTCTCGGGCATCGTGCGGGACGAGGCCTTCATGCGCGAGGTCCTCCGCGCCGCCTGGAAGGACGAGGACCTCGAGGCGGAAAACGTCCCAGAGCTCGAGGAGAGCTGCGACAGGCGCATGGAGGATTCGGGGGGGGGGGCCGAATGGTGTGGTTGGGTGGTTGTTTTGAGCTGTGTTTTTTTTTGTGCCAGGATCCGGGCCCCGGGACCATCACAGATGTCAACGGCACCGTAACGGGTGTTTATTAACGGGCACTTTGAAATGATGCCGAACGTTGCCGCTTTAGGGCCTTTTTCTTGCATTGCAGCGTTGCCCACATCGGGAAGGGTTGGGTTCGCTGGGTCACTGGCCAAAGTACCCGCTAGTGGAGTCCCCGTTTGAGGGGCGCTGAAGATGGATCCGGCTCGGAAAATGCGTTTGGAAGATAGGGTCCAGGGTTTCAGCCGTGGTTTTCTGCGACGGCGCATATTCTTGCAGCGTCGGATCTCGTGCGGCCAGCAGAGAGGAGGGATCGAGGCCCTCCTCGTCGCCACGGCTGGGCGCGGCTCGGGACTCTTGGCGGCTTCGACTACGGGCGGGGTCCAGGGGTAGATTTTGAGCGGACTTGATCTTCCCAAGATTTCTCATGGCCAATCCAGCGTAGACCCACCATTGCGTTCCGAGTAGCTACGCCTTATGGTGAGGCATTGGGGATTCGGGTTGACCGCACGGTTTTGGGACTTGGGGCCGTTTTTCAAGGATGTCCCTGGCGACCTGGGCCTTCAGAGACCGTGCGGTTAGGTCTCTGAAGATCTCGCACGGTCTGTCACCGCAGCGTTCTGGGAGGATCTCAGGCAGGGCAACTTCCAGGTTCCGTTCGACTTCCTCACCTTCCGCTGAGGTAATTATCCGCTCGGGCGGTGCCACGGCCGAGGGGTCGTTGGCATCCGTGACCCTGCGACATCGCCCCAACGCGGGGGACGTCGTTCGCTGTGTCGCAGAGTCAGGGTTGCTCGTTCGCTGGCAGATTGGGGCAGGAGACGCCGTCCGCAAGTCGCGCGACTCCGCGAGGGCAGAGGAGCCGACTCGTCGGGTGCTCTTTGCTCCTCCTTCCAGCATTATGTACCTTTAATTTTTTGTCCATGCCGCAGCATTTCAGGGCACACCCATGATTCATGATGCGGCATGTGGGCGTTCTCGGAGTTCCGGGCACCCTTTTTGGATCCGCAATCGCCGTTGCCGTGGTGACTCGAGCCGTGATGGTGGCGCTCCGTCTCCACTTCCTCGGGCCAAAATTGTGCGTGCCACGCGTACCTAAATGAGTTGCATGTGCGGCACGATGTGGACCTTAGTGGGCCCTGGAAACGACAGGGCCGTTTTTTTTCCGGTTCCGTTTTGCCGTTTTTTCGCCGGTTCCGAGGCCGTTTTTTTACCGGTTCCGTCTCCGTTTTTTGACCCGTTCCGGCTCCGGCTCCAATCCTGGAGCCGTTTTTTCGCCGTTGCGGGTCGCCGCTTTTTTGCCGTTTCCATTTGGAAGGGACATGCTCTGGAGACGGTGAACAAAAAGGCCCTGCCGTTTCCGGGGCCCGCAGAGATGTGGACCCGCGGCAGTATGGAAGCGCCACGCGGTGCGGCGCACGCGTGCGCAATCTGACGCGCGCCGGCCTGCTGCCGCTGGCCTGCCCGGCCGTGCCCGCGCCACCCTGCGGGTTTTCTCGTGGGGCCGACCCCGGGGCGCCTCCTTTCGACTGCGCGGGGCCGCGTCGTGGCCTCTGGGGGCCACCTTGGGGCCACCTTGCCGGAGGAGGATGAGAGGTACCGATGCCGCGAACTGCCCTTCGCCCGTGTTCCCCTTGTTCTCGGCCTCCTCGGAGGCTCTCGCTGTCACCGCCGGATTCGCCTCGAAGTCCTGGGCAGAACGCGCCCCAGGAGAGGTCCGGGGAGGAGCGGTACCGGTACCTTTTGGTTTCCCCCTCTTGGGCGTTCGGGGAAGGCTCCTGGGCCCTCTTCGCCGCTCGGCCGCGTCCCCGCGGCCCCCGGAGCAAAGCCGACGGGCCGGCTCAGAGGCCAGAGGCCGGCTCTCCCTGAGGTGGGCGGCCCCGCGGCTCCGCCAGCAGACGTCAGAGGCCAGGGCTGGACTTCCGCGGGCATGTCCCCTTGCAGGAGGGAGGTTCAAAATCAGTAAAAAAAATTGCCTGGGGGCGGTTTTTCGACCAGTGTTGACCATTCTTGAGAAAGGTTCGATCATTTTGCAGGTTTCGTGAACATCCGCCTGTCGGAGGACATGCCCGACCTGAGCGCAATTGGCGAGCGGTGAAGAAGCTGCGCAATACACACCAGCAGCCCATCAGTCAAGCAAGTAGCTTCTCAGCTGCCGCTCCCGAGGGGGACTGACGGATGTGTCATTCGTACTCGCACCCTTTAGGGCTTTATCGTCTGCACATTCGCTCATAGTGGCCCATGCCCACTCAGTGGCCCTCGCACTCGCAGACGTTCCCTTCATCTCACACACCCTTCACGTTGGCCTTCCACGTCGCACTCCTACACGCCCGCGCAGATTCACAGTGACCCACGCGAAAGCCCACTCAGATCAACCCATGCTTGCCCACACCCACACCCACAACGTCGACCCCCACAGGTCGGGACCCCTTCCCCGGGACCGGTGTCTCCTCCCGGCGCGTTGCTCGACGGCCCCACGGCCCGGGAAGGGCCCCTGGAGGCCGAAGAGGGCGAATCGCCCCCCCGTCGTCTTTTGCTTTTCCCAGCGCGCGGGGGTTTCTGGGTACTCGCTCGCTCGCTACGCACGCGCGCGCGCGCACTCCCGCTCGCGCGGTTCCCGCGCACTCGCGCACGCCACCCTGCGCGCCTCCGCGGGCGCCGCGCGCTCGGGCCTGCCTGGAAGGGGGGGGGGGGGTCAGGAGGCAGCGCACAGGAGCCCGCTCGGGTCCCTGCCCTCACGTCGGGCTTGTCCCTCTACCGGGGGACTCTTCAAACCTAGTCAAAAAAAAATAGTTGTTTGAATATTTTAGGGTAGTGCCTGATCATTTTTCATTCATCGTCCAAAATCGGCCTGTAGGGGGACAGGCCCAGCTGAACCTTACCCGGTGGAACCTCATAGGCAGAAATCTCGTTTGGGGTCGGGGTGGGCGTGTCTCTGTCTCTGCAGTCTTCTTTATGTGCTGTTTCTCTCCCTATCTCTGTCCTCTTTAGTGTCTACCCCTCTCTCTCTCTCCCACTCTTTTTTGTTATTCTCTCTCTCTCTCTCCCCCTCTGTCTTTCTCTCTCTCTCTCTCTGTCTCTCAATCTCTATCTCTCTCTCTCTCTCTCTCTGGCTTTCTCCCGGGGACGTGCGTGCCCCGCTCGACGGCACCAGAAACTTCCGACAGGCAGCACGAACCGT